TAGCCAGCAGCCAGCGTGAGCGGCCAGCAGCCGCCATGAGCCAGCGACTGATCTGCCTCGCCCAGGAAGAGCGCAATGATGATGCCAACTTGGGCCAGTGAAGCAACGTCCTCCACAACTAGACTGAAGAACAAAAGGACAACTTGTCTGTTCCCCTTCCCCCAATTCCCCAGCGCTGTTCCCATCCCCCTGTTCCCCAATAAAAAAAAATATTAAAAAAAAATTATCCATATATTTATCACTAATTACTTTCCATGACATTAAACATTCCCTTGTATTATTTCTATTTGCTGCATATTATTTTTGTAACATGATTTACCTTGTTAGATACTATTTCCAGTTTTTTCTTTATAAACAGCCATGTGATGAATATTCTTAAAAGTATTATCTTTGATTACATCTGTATCCTTTGGATCCATTCTTAGAAATGGAATTGCTGATTAAAGAGTATAAAATTTTTTAAGGCTTTTGGTTTTTATTGTGAAACTGCCCTTCAGAAAAGTCATGTTAATATTTGTTCATATTTCTAACTTTAGGCTTTGAGATCACTCAAGAGACTCTTTCCTTTGTTTGCAAATTACAAAAGTAATACCCCCCCAAATTTAAACAGATGGATACATGCGCCATCCCCACACATACTCAGCATTCCACTTCCTAGAGGTATAACCACTGTTAATAGTGTGTATAGTCTTCCAAAACATGACGACACTGGGAAGGATCTTAACAGCCAAGATGTTGCATGTTTCTTTGTTCATGCTGGTCCCATTTTTCTACTCTCTGCCCAGGTAGAACTCATTAATTCTTTAATGACTGTCACCATCTTTTATTCCTCCATTTCTTTTTTTTTTTTTTTTTTTTTTTAAGCTGAGCCATCCTGCTACCTGTTGGCAGCTCAGTGGCTGCTCAGCTCGGGCTGGACGCGAACTGCGGTTGCTCAGAGCTCAAACTCTTGAGCGAGCTCTTAACCAACTGAGCCATTCGGCCGGCCCTCCTCCATTTCTACTTTTAAATGAAGAATTCTTGAATCATTAAATGAATTGTCCTGTTTCCTAGAGCATCCTCTTTTCTCCTATCAGGCTCTTTGAGGGCAAGGCCTGGTGAACACTAGACCATCTGTACCATGCCTCACATAGAGTTGGGCACTCAGGTCTCAGTAAAAACAACCTGAGTAGGGGCTCCATCAATTCTGACCCAGATGCTTCCTAGAGGTTCTCAAGTCTCCTTAGTCTTTGAGTGTTTACCTGAGGGAAAGGGGTAGTTTCCCCTCCACCTGCACCTAGCAGGAGTCGGGGGACTTTCCCAGAGGTTGGGGGTAGGAGTGAGGGGCATAAGTATGGCTTCAGGGTGACTGCAGTTAAAGAGGGTGGCCTGTGGAGGAAGGTGGGCTTGGGTCCTGCTGTGACACTATTCTTCCCTAGCTGTGTCACATTGAGCAAATATCCTGATCTGAGTGGTCCCGTCTGGTTGTTAGGTAATGTGTATAATGTCCAGAGCACATGGAAGTACTCTATAAACATAAGCTGCCGCTACTATACCCGTCTGTACTTTTCTAAGAAAAGAGGATACGTTGGGAAGTAGACTCCCCCCCATCATACTTACATACCAAAGGCGACCAGAGACCCCCCCAACAGACACCTCTTAAGCAGTGATCCATCTTCTTTCAGAACAGATCTCCACTCTACTCCAACAATCAGCAAGTTTAATGGGGCCCCACTGTGGCACTGTCCCCTACCCGCTCTGAGATTCGCATGCCATGGGCTCGGACTCGGTACAAGCACGTGAAACGGGGATGGCCCCAGTTGCTTAGAACCTGGATTTTCACCTTGGGAAAGGCAGCTGGAGGGTCATTCTGGGGAGACAAATGGATCATGCCAAGACCTGCTCTCCCAAGGGCTGTCTTCCTCCCCAATCTTCCCTCACTCCTCACTGTTCCACATCCTTAGCACCCTCACCCCCAGAGATGAACACACCTGTAGGTGGAATGTCTGAATCTCAGATTTCTCCACGTCGAAGGTGAATTTCCCCAAGAAAACTTCAGTTTTATCATCAACTTTGAGGCCCTGGTAAGTGAAGAGTGAACGGAAGAACAGTGAGGCACAAGTGGAGGAGGGAGAAAGCTTTGCTGAGGACCTACTATGTGTTCAATAGCTATATGCATGCTCTCATTTATTTTTTGATGTTAGAATAGTGTAGTGTGGAATGTGGGCTCAAAGAAACCAGGCTGCAAATTTTAGTCTGGCCAATTGTTAGCTGTGTGACAGTGGGCAAGTAAGGACCCCTTTCTGAACATTATTTTCCTCACCTGTGAAGGGAAGATAATAAGTATGTCATAGGTTGTGTGGATGCAAGGAGATAATCCATGTAAAGTACTCTGCACAAGAGTAAGTGCTCAATAAACCATAACTAATATCTGGATATGATTATAATTATTTACGAGGTCTGACAATTAAGTTTGCGAATGTGCCACTGTGTGCTTACACTGGCAGCACTACAAACAGCTCGGTAAGGTTTCATAACCTTGGTATATCAGTGTCTCAGCTGTGTTCCTGTTGACGTGTGGCGGTGTCTTGCTGAATGGCATTCATTGTTGTGTGTTTTTGTGTTGCCATCGCAAGAATGTCTGAGCTTGAATTAGAGCAACGAACAAACATTAAATTTCTTGCTAAACTTGGCAAGAGAGGAAGTGGAATCAGGAACATGTTAGTCCAAGTTTATGAAGATAATGCCATGAAGAAAACGGCAGTGTACAAACGGATGAAACGTTTTTCTGAGGAGAATGAGTCACTGATGAAGAGAGATCAGTGCGGCCAGTAACGAGCAGAACTGATGAAAACACTGCAAACATTCGTTGAATTGTGCATCAAAATAGTCTGCTGACTGTGAGAAGCACAGCAGACCAAGTAAACATTCATAGAGAAACAGGAAAATCTGAACTGAAAATCTTGGCATGAGGAAGGTGTGTGCAAAAATGGTCCCAAAGGAGCTCACTGATGAACACAAGCAAAGGAGAGTTGAAGTTTGCCAAGACCTTTTAGAGAGCCAAGGCAATGTTTTGGGCCATGTTATCACTGGTGATGAAACATGGGTGTACCCATCCGACCCTGAAACAAAGTGTTAAAGTGCACAGTGGAAGTCAGCCAATTCTCCATGACCAAAAAATTTCCATCAGTCCAAATCAAGAGTCAAAACGATGTTGCTAACCTTTTTTGATATCAGAGGGATTATTCATTAGTAATTTGTACCAACTGGACAAACAGTTAACCAAGTTTACTATTTGGAAGTGCTGAAAAGACTGCATGAAAAAGACGAAAATGACCAGAACTTTTTGCTAACAATTCATGGCTCTTGCATCACGACAATGCATCAGCTCACAGGGCACTGTCTGTGAGGGAGTTTTTAGCCAATAAAGAAATAACTGTATTGGAACACCTTCCTAGTCACCTGATCTGGCCCCCAATGACTTCTTTCTTTACCGGAAGATAAAGGAAATATTGAAAGGAAGACATTTTGTTGACATTCAGGCTATCAAGAGTAATACGACGACAGCTCTGATGGTCATTCCACAAAAAGAATTCCAAAATTGCTTTGAAGGATGAATGTGGCGCTGGTGTCAGTGCATAGCTTCCCAAGGGGAGTACTTCGAAGGTGACTGTAGTGGTATTCAGCAGAAGTATGTAGCGTTCTTTCTAGGATGAGTTCGCGAACTTAATTGTCAGACCTCCTATAACCTACAGCAGCCTTAAGACAAATGGTAGTATCTCCATTTTATAGATAAGCAAGGGAAGACTCAGATAGTGGTATCAGTTTTCATGACTGCCTGGCGCTTTCTAGGCAAAATATTTCCCTTTCTAGGCCCCAGTCCCACTCACATAGACCGCGAAATCACGGGGAGCACTGTTGGCTCCTCCGGTGTGTGCCACGCTGGCTGGTGGGTGCTGCAGGGTGATGTCGCTCAGCTGCACATGACCTGGCAGCCGGATCACCACCTGGCCCTGGTCGCCCGCAAAAGCCCAGCAATTCCCAGGGAACACATCTGGCTGCAGGGGGAAAGTTAGACCATCAGAACCCACTGACCAACAGAGACTGTGGTCCTTTCCCAGCCTGTGCATTGATTCAGGTAGGCCCCGCCCTCAGCTTGACCTCATCAGGGCGAGGCTCAGTCCTTCACCCTAGCCCGAGTCCCTACCCAGCCAGAACCTGCCTAGGGCCCCAGTCCCTCGCCCTGCCAGCTTTCTCCTCCAGCTCAACACTGTCCTAGGCTTCACCCAGAGCCTCACCAGCCAAGCCAGACCCCACCTCTAGCAGGGCCCATCCTTGGCCCAGCAGGGACTGCCTAGCGCCACATCCTCAGCGCAGCTAGGTCCCACTTCCAAGGAGCTGTTGGGTCCTTTCCCCAGAGCCCGTCCCCTGGTCCCATTCTGGGATCCAGGTTCCAGGCCCACCTCCAGGATAACCGTGGGTGGCCGCGCGTAGTTCCAGAAGCTGAAGCGATTCCAGAAGTAGGCAATGTTTGCATCCTCGTAGTCGTGGGATGTCTTCTCTAGGTCGATGGAGGCTCCTGGAGCAGGGAGAAGCAACCACTCAGGGGCTCCCAGGCCTGACTGACAGCTGGAGCAGGGTCTGTCTGAGGTCGGACTCCTTGGGCTGGTCATGTGCATAGGTCTACGTCTACCCTGTCTCTGAGTCCCAATCTCTCAGTGTCTCTGGGTCTTACCTACAGAGCTCAGCGCATAATCGGGTTTCTGCACAAAGTCCTCATTCAGCCTCTGGAATACAAGCTCGGCCACTCTCTGAAAAGAGGGAGGGTGGGGCTTGCTGGCTGGATTTATAGGGGGACACAGTTCTCTGGGAACAAGGTCCTCTGGGATGGACTTTTGGCCCCGAGAGAAATCCCAAAGTTGGAGCTCTGGGGGAGGGCTTTAAGGCTCAGGAACCAGGAAGTGGGGCTCTGCAAGGTGGGGTGGGACTGCAGCGGGAAGGGCTCCTAGACACCCCTGGGGACCAGATGTGAGAGCAGAATGCTCCTGCAGGGCTCACCTCGCTGTTGGCTGCGCGAACGCTAGACACCTCCTTGTAGAGTTTATCTAGCTCAGCCTGGAGCTGCTGCAGCTGCTGCCCCTGGGAGCGCACGCGCTCGTGGTACTCGCTGCAGGCAGGAGGTTGGCACGGCGTGGTTGGCTCCCTGTCCCCGGGACACTCCCCATAAGGCCCCCCACAGAAGCACCTTTGAGCCCCCTAATTCCCCACCCCAAGTGCCACCTTTCACCTTAGAGTCAGCATCTCCTTAGGTTCCTGTTGAAGGGAGGGAGGGACAAGATACAAAGACTGCTCATCTCCCACCCACCCCCTTGCCTACTTCAGTCTGGGAGCAGCCAGACTCAAAGGGCTTTCTTTTGGAGGACTGCCCCACCTTCCCTGACCTTCCAGGACCCATCAGAGACCCTTAAGCACCTCTGGGCACAGTCTCTCAGAAATCTGTTTATGTCCAGGCCTTCCAGCACTGGCCCCTCCCAGCAGCCCAGGGGACCCCCCACAACCTCTAGGTTCATAGCCTTCTTGCCAACCACCCACCTCAGGACACAGTCTCCCTCACTTACATTCTCCAAAGGAGGAACCAGACACAGGAGGCCCCACCAGAGTGCTGGAGAAAGAACAGGGTGGTTTCAGGGGAAGAGAAGGGAGAGAGTTTCCCTGGCATAAAGGGAGGAGAGGCTTGAGGGTATTGAGTCTGGGGCGGGACTACAGGGCTCTGAAGAGTTCTGTGGGGAGCTGAAGGGGCAGAGAGGGCTGAGGGATATAGGGGAAATGTATCCAATTTGGCTCCAAAGCATCCAGGGCTATGGCCCCAGGGAATTCACCACGCCCTTACCTGTCAGAAAGAGGCTTAGCAGTGAAACAGCGGTGAGCAGGAAGCGGATGGAACAGACCTCCCTGAAGAACCGGAGGGAAGCTGAGGCCCCAGGAACCCTAGTGAACTCCGCAGCCCCCACCCCAGGCTTCTAGACCCAGCTCCTGTGAACACTACTTAACCAGGCCTGAATCGGCTCAGCCGGGTACCGCACTGCTCCCCACCTCTTCCAAAGAGCAGCCCCTGGGGCTCCCCCTTTCCTCCCTCTGACCTGTACACAATGACCAGCACGTCTCCTAGCCAGGATAGCAACACGCTCAGCATCTGAAAAAGTAGGCCTGAGGAGAAGAGAGGGAGCTCAGAGTCGGGCCTATGGCTTAGAAAGGGGGAGATGGAGAGGGGTGGGCTAGGAGAATTAGACGGGGGCAAGGAGAATGAGTCTGAGGCTCAGAGACTGTGGACCCAGCTCAGGGAAAGGGCTAGAGACTCAAGCATGGACGGGGGTTGAGAACGGAGAACAGGGTCTCAGTGATGAGAACTGGAATTCGGGGAGGGAAACCAGAGGGTTAGAGGGGATCTGGGCTGGCCTGGCCCATACTTAGGAAGCTCTTGGACACTCGCAGTGGAGGCATCTCCTGCCTCAGGTCCAGGGACGAGAGAAGGTTGAACTGCTCCTCAGAGACAACGGGAGAGCCAGCCGGTTCTGCAGGAGCCCAAGGGCTCCATTGGGGTCTTGCGTACCTCAGGCCCACTCTTTCCCAGGGACCCGGCCTCAGGTTCCCCAGCCCAGAAGCTGAGCAGTCTCTCACAGGCTTTGGCCCCACCGCATCCTAAACCCAGGTCTCTCAGCACTCTGAAGCCCCGCCCCTCAGGGATGATCAGTCAAGACGCTAGCCCCACCTCCAAACGGAGGCTCCTCCCCAAGTCTGAGGTCTTGTCCCAGGTAGTCACTCATGCTAAGATCGAGGCCGCGCCTCCTCAGTGGTGCTCGAATGTAGGATTTTTCCCTCCCTAGGATCGTCTATCACATTGAGGCCCCGTCCCTAAAAGTATCTTATTCAGTGCCACCCCTCTTCACCAGATAGGCCCCGCCCCTTAGGAGGTGCCCATGTATAGTTCCACCCAGGTTCCATGCCCCGCCCCGCCCCTTATGCCCCGCCCCCTCCCTCGGCTTACCCGGGTTCGACCCCGCCCGCACCCGAGGCCCCGCCCCTCACGGTTGCCGCTCCACAGGCGGTCCGCCCATTGTGGCTCCGAGGCGCCGGCTTCTGCCGAGAGCTTCCAGCCCTTGTGGTTCCTCCGGGCACTCCTGAGCTCAAGGCGGGCTCACCGCAGCTCGAGCCCTGGGCTCTTCTGCCCTCGGGCTCCCCGGGCCCCTGCCCAGCTGACCGGTGGCCGCTGCTGTCCCCCGATGTGGCGCTCACTGAGCTGCTGCTGTTGTCGCTGTAGAAGTCGGGCGTGTGCTTGTGCGGGGACGCGACTGAGCCTGGGCGGGGACTCCGCCTCATCCTGGCTCCTGGCGGGTCCCTCACGGACGCCAAAGTCGCAGCCGCAGCCGCCAAGGCCCTCGGGCCTCCCTCAGCCGGTGCGCGCCGCCGGGACCACACAAAGCCTGCGTGCAGCCGGCGGGCCCCGCGGCCGGACCCAGCCCTCTCCTCTGGTTCTGGGCCCGGCTGCAGACGTCATAGAGGAGACCACGGTCGCCGAGGAACGCCCTGACGGGATGTCACAGAGCTAATCGTGACATCATCAGAAGGCATGGAGGTCTCTCTTACTCTTTCCTAGGTTAAAGCTTCATTGCCTGTCACCCCCACCAGCACGTAAACTTTATGAAGATTGGGATTTTTGTTTTGTTCACCGCACCTAGACAGGCTCAGCATGTAATAGGTTTTCAAATATTTGTGAATGAATGTTAAGAAGGGACAGGGGATCACCCAGGGCACTTCTTTTTGGGTTTTTTAGATTTTTTTTTCCATTGGGGAATTGGGGAAGAGAACAGTGTTGGGGAATTGGAAAAGGGGAACATTGTGTTTTTCCAGGACCAATCAGCTCCAAGTCAAGCTGTCCTTCAATTTTAGTTGTGGAGGGCACAAGCTCAGCTCCAAGTCCAGTGGCAGTTTTCAATCTAGTTGCAGGGTGGGTTGTAGCCCACCATCCCACGCAGGAGTCGATCTGACAACCTTGTTAAGATCACGGCACTCTTACCAGCTGAGCCATCCGGCCACCTGTTGGCAACCGCCAAAAGCTCAGCTCGGGTGCAGCTCACTGGCCCATGTGGGAATCCAACCAGCAACCCTGTTGCTCAGAGCTCTCACTGTAACCAACTGAGCCACCTGACTGGCCCCAGGGCACTTCTGAATAGTCATTTAGTCTCTTTTGCTCTGCAAACCCTTCAGGCCCCTCCTTTCATCCTAGTCACCAGGCCGGAGAACTCTGACCTCAGGATCTGTGGGTCCCTCTCAGACCCATATTCACCAAGAGTCTATGAGGTGAGAATTTAGTACCCACCTGTCACCACCCACATTCACACCAACCATCTGAGTCACTAAGAACAGAATGAAGACTCACAGGTGGTCACAGCCAAGAGCCCAGAGGTTCACAGACTCGTGTTGTGCATTAGCATCCCAGTGCAGCTGATAGAAATCAGGCACACCTTGAGACTCTACTCCAGCATTTCTGGAGTGGGTGCAGGGACGTGCATTTTTAACAACCACAGGTGTGATCCTGATTAAAGACCACACTTTGAAAGGCAATGCAGAACATTCTGTGCACATTGCACAGCTAGGCAAACGGGTCAAGAGAGGGGAAAGAACGTTCCTAAAACCACAGTGTGTGATAGAGATTAGAATTCCAAAATCCTGCCCTCGAGCCCAGTACTTTCTGCCTCATCTCATCTTTTTTGGAATGTTAGGAAGTGGAAGTGGCAGTTCTTAGAGGGATTGAGGCCCAGGGAGAAACTTCCAGGCTGTGTTCCAGCCCAGAGAGGAGTTGCCAGCATTGGGTTCTAGATGGGTGGCATCAATACCTTGCTCAATTAGATGCCACAGAGCTCAGGGTAGAGAGAGAGAGAAAGGCCAAGGCACTGAAAGCTAAGAATTCTGGTTCCCCCTCTGCCTTCCTTTGGGTCCCAGTGTCTGCATCTGTTAAATGGGGAGGGGAAGCCCTCCCCCAACATCTGGGGGTCTTAAGGTCTAATCTGTACCTTGCTTAGACACAGAACAACCCATGCCTCTTGTCTGATGTTTTATATTTGAGTGCCAAACACCTAGGAAATAGGTAGAACAGGGCTTTGTATTGAGTATTGAGATGGAGAAGCTGAAACAAGAAGGCACCATGTCTGGCTCAAGGCCACACAGCAAGGCCCAGCTCCTCTGATGGTCTAATCTTATCTGCTGCTGCCTTCCAATACATTCCTTGTGCACAGGCCAAACTTAACAAATTACAGTTTCCAGAACACGCCCTACCTTCTTCCCCAGTTCCTGGATATCCATGTCTGCTCTGCTCAGCTCCTTTCCTCAAAGCCCATTTTAAACACTCCCTCCTCAGGGAAGCCCCTCTAGCCTCCCTCCCCTGAGCAACCCAACCTGACCCTTTCCTGTTCTGATGGGGACTGCAGTCCTAGGCTTTGTTTGATGCCGGAGTCCATGAACCTACTGGAAGACAGAGAACATGTGTGACTCACGTCTGTGGCTACACTCCCTTCCTCCCAGAGTGGCATAGCACAAGGCCTGCACATAGGATGTGTCATTAAATAGCATGATTAAGTGGATGGTCATGAAATACACTCAACATAGTTACTGTCACCCATGGGCTCAGACTGCGAGATACGTTCATTCCTCCATACATTCAGTGAAAGCACATCTGTTTAAGGGTTATTACCCTAAGCTAGGAATTTTATGTCTAGAAAAATGCACATGTGCTCAGTATTTTACAGAGGATTTCAAGGGCTTCCTGACTCTCTGGAGCCCAGCTATAGTCCCACTAGTAAACCCCAAGTTAAGGACCTCTGGCTTCTGGTTAAGAAGTGTTTTGAACACCTGTTCTGTGCAAACTAGGGACACACATTCAGTCACTTTCTAATTCAATAAATGTGTTGAGTGCTTACACCACTAATGCTGGGGGCTAAGGGATTCACTTATTAACCCATCTATTTATTTAGCCAATGTTTTGAGGGTCTACAATGTAGCCACGCCCTGAGCTGGGCATGAGGACACAGAGGTGAACAAGGAACAACATGAGGCCCCATGCCCTCGAGGCCCCATAAGCTAGCTGGACCAGACTAGGGTGCTGTCGTCTCCCCTCGCCTCCATCCCCACACTGCCCCAGATCCCACCCCGCACCAGGATGCGGGATGGAGGCTGAAGCTGGTGCAGGCAGGGAGGACTGAGCTGACCACAGGGATCTTACCCCACCTCTCAGTCCTTGGGCTTCTTTCCCACCTATGACCCCCAGGCCTGCTGTCTATGTGTTTGACTAAAGGGCAGGGATTGCTGAACCTGCTGGGTGAGTCCAGTGAGTCAGAGGCGATTCAGGTGTGCAGGCAGGTGGGCAGGAGGGCAGGCGGGCAGAAGCTGAGCCAGCGGCCCTGGGGCAATGGCTCTGACTGTGTGCGTTCGGCGATTAACAGGCCTGCCGGGCACCCATGACAGACAAGTGAGGCTCAGCTTTCGAGGTGAGGTTTGCAGGGGTGCTTTAAGGATTTTTGGAATGGGGGTTCCAGTTCCTCCATCCCCAAGGCCCCCAACCCCATCCCTAGGCAGCTCTAGCCTGTCCCCTTTCTCTCCCTGCTCAGTATCTCCAACTCTCTGCCTCCTCTCCCCATCTTCTCCTTTTCTTTAATGGTGAGCCCTGGGGGACCGGACTCTGGGCTAAGACTTCGGGCTAAGGATTGGGGGAGGCGTTGATATTTTGGGGGAGGGATGATAAATGACTAGATTCAATTCTGAGCAGGATTTACCCAGAAAACGAGGAGAATTCACTGTGGTCATGAAGCAGATATTGGTGAGGTCAGTGGGGCTGGGTCCTGGCTGGGAGAAGCTGATCTGTGCCCCATCTAAGTCCATCCTGGGGTTAGGGGGCTCATTCCTGGGTTTTGAGAGGTATAGTCTCAGGGGGTGGGGTCAGTCTCAAGCTTGAGAGGTCAGACCCAGTTTGGGACAAGTCAGAATCAAGATGGGGGATCCGTTCTTGATTGGTAGTTATTCCAGATCAGCCCTAGTATGGAGTCAACCCAGTGTTGGGGGCATTGGTTCTAGATTTGGAAGATTAGTCATAGAATTAACTCCAAGTCTGGAGGGTTGGCTCTTGTTTCAGGGTTGGGAATAGGCTCTGGACCGGGGCTCAGGTTTAGCCCAGCATTAGGTGTCACAAAGTTCTTCCTATCCCCAGCTGTTCCGTTGGCCACACTATGGGGCTCCGCTGGCTGGGGAGTGTCTTTCTGTGCAGGTGGTCAACTGCAGCCGTGTGTTCAGCCCCAGGTGAGTAGGCCTGGGGGAGCCAAGGATGCAGGTGAGGCTGGGGGTGGCTTAGGGCATTCCCCTGGGTCACTCTTCTGCTCCATACCACACCCCCAGGTCTCTGGGGACTCTGGTGATATCCCTGCAGCAGCTACAGAGTGCTGGGCGTTTGGTGCTGCGGGAGACCCTAGTGGATGAGAATCTGCGAGTGACTCCGGTGAGTCCTACCAGCCCCCAGCCTGCCACTCCTAAGCCTGAGAGTCCCTCTAAATAAAGAGTTCCATTTCTCAGGAGGAAAATCCCAGTCCCACACAGGAGTGGTAACAAAGCCCCCTGGCCAAGGCACCTATCATTGCAGCCTCTGCTGAAGTCCCATATAGGCCAAGAACCAGGTTCAGTTCTAAAGACCAGGGGTGTGGAAATGGGGGAAGGTAAGGAGTTCTGTGCTGCTCCCTGACCTGTACGAGGCTCAATTCTCATGGGAGACAAAGGTAAACCTGGTTGGATTTTCCTGGTGTTTATGGAGGGTCAGTATAGCCTGGTAGAAATGGACCTGGGTTCAAACCTCAGATCCACCGTTTCCCAGGTGAGAACTTGGAAAAGGTATTTAGCTTCTGTAGGCTGTTTCTTCTTTTACATTGTGTGGAGTCATACAAAATGAGCTTTTCCTTCAGTCTGTCATAATTTGTTGAGCTTTCATTATAAACCAAGTGCTGTGCTGTGCTGAGCAATGAGGATTGAGCGGTGAGCAACTCAAGCCAGATAAGGATTTGCCCTTTTAGAGCTCCGTATCTAAAGAGAGACGCACACATTAAACAAATATTTATACAAATAAATGTAAAATTGCCACTGATGAGTCTTACAAAAGAGCTGGGAGGGGCTGGGAGTGTGTATAATAGAGGGATGTGGTCCATTTGTGGGTCAGAAAATGTTCCCTGAGGAAGTAGTGCTTGAGCTTGGGATTGAAGAATGATAGGAGTTAACTAAGTGGGAGAGGAGAATGTTCCAGGCAGAAGAACCAGCATAGGCAAAAGCCCAGTGCCCTGAGAGAGCATAACTGGGGTGTAGGACAGGAGCAGAGCCCGTAAGAGATGGGGCTGGAAAGGTTGGTAAGGGCCAGACCATGCAGAGCTGTGAAGGCTAGTGTAATGGGTTTCCAAGAGCGATGAGAGAATTTTGGAGTCCTGTTTGGCCTCTTCAAGAGGTAACCCACACATGGTAAGTTCTTAAATATAGATTGTGAGTAGTCAATATTATTAATGATCAGAGAAGAACCACAAGTCACTAAAGATGCAGGCCAGGTGGGTCTCTGTTTATAGGTGGGGTAAAAGCCATTATCCCTGGGCTTCTCTTAGCTCCAGGGCAGTTTGAGTGGCCCTTTGGGCACACTGTGTATGAGTATCTGGTTTCAGATCCAAGTGGAGCTTGACCTGAAGTACCAGCCCCCAGAGGGTGCAACTGGAGCCTGGGCAGAGGAGGACTTTGGGGCACCTATCCAGCACAGGTAACCACCCCGCAACCTAAGCAAGGCCTGGTGGTCCCAGCCCAGACAGGCACTGAAAAGGGAGAAAGTGGTACCCAATTCCACCTGTACCCATGCTGCCCAACTTACATCTCTGTAGTCAGGCCTGGCCCTCTCATTACTTTCATTTTTCTTCCTCCCAGCTCAGAGCTTATTATCCCCAACGTGGGCTTCCAGGAGCTGGAGTAAGTATGTGGGGATGACCTGGGGTTACCAGGTTAGTCTTTAGATTAAGAGCCAGTGATGTGGGGGCAGTCCCAGGGTCTGGAATCAGTATTGGATCAATTTCAGAGTTAGAAATTAATCCTGGAATCAAGGGTCAATTCTGGAATTAGAGGGGTCCCAGGTGAGGGGTCAGTTCTGGGATTAGTGAGGTCAGTCCAAGGGTCAGGGAAATTAAGGGGTATCCAGACATGGGTGTGATAGGTCCCAGACATGTCCTTTGAAGGCCTTTCCTATCAGGCCTAGGGAGGCCCGGCTGGAACGGCGGGCAGTGGCATTGGGCCGCAGGCTAGCTCAAGGCCTAGCTCAGCAGGACGATGAGGACAATGAGCTGGAGCTGGAGCTGGAGTTGGAGGACGAGCCTGATGTGGAGCTTTCCGGTGTTGTGTTCAGCCCCCTCAAGAGGTAACTAATACTCACTGCACATACGCTCCCACCCCCCACCAGTGTGTCAACCTCATTCACTCATACATGCAGGCCCAATGCCCATCCACCCTCACAAGCTCATGGTCCCAGGGTATGGGTGAAGACTGGATATCCTGGGGTCAAGGGTCACTCACTCCTAGGCATAGACAGTAGCACATTGACACACACAGTTACACTGGCTCACACATAGCTATGGAACCCATGTGGGTGACGAAAACTTGATGAGGGCAAGGAATTTTGTCTCTTTTTTTCACTGCAGTGTCCCAGTGCTTAGAAGAGTGTTGGCACATGCTAGGTGCTCAATAAATCTTTGTAGAATGAATGAGTGGTTTTAGGACTCCAGGAATGAGTCCAATTCTGGGTGTAGAGTTGAGATGGAGGCGAGATAAGACCAGGGCTCAGAACCCAAAAATTCAGAGGGAGAGATCTTATCCCCAGCACCAAGCAAGAGTGTGTGTGTGTGGTTGGGGGAGGAAATCAAATGAGAGCTGACCTTAACCCTCCCGGCAGCCGGACCCGTGGCCTGGCCCGCAGGGATCCCTTCCAGGTGTCCAGAGCCCAGGACTTCCAGGTACCTTTCTCCCTCCAGGCCCTAACCCTTGGAAATACCACCAGGTTCTTCCCTCCCTACCTTGGAAGGCTTGGCTTCCTTTTCTCCTTCTTCTGCACCCTTCAGGTGGGGGTCACAGTTCTGGAGGCCCAGAAGTTGGTGGGAGTCAACATTAACCCCTATGTGGCTGTGCGAGTAGGGGCGCAGCGCCGAGTGACTGCCACGCAGCGCGGGACTAATTGCCCCTTCTACAACGAGGTGCCTGTGACCAAGATGGAGGGAGGCCTAAGAGAACGGGCGGGATCCAGGAACCGTAAGGGCATGGCCTAGGTGGACTTGAGCAAAGGTGCAAAGAGGCACCATGGAGGGGGGATGAAGAAGAGCATTTTCTTTGTAAACCCTTTACATATAATCATCTCTCACCTTTCTTGCTTCCCCACTTCAACCCAGTACTTCTTGTTCGAATTTCATGAGACCCGGCTTCACCTCCAAGATTTACTGCTGGAGATCACTGTGAGTGGGGTTGGGGGAGAGAAGTCTCTGTCAGAGAAGGGAGGATGTCTAAACTCCAGGACCAACACCACCTTTCCCAGGCTTTCCATTCACAGACTCTCCCCTTTATGGCCACCCGGATCGGCACCTTCAGGATGGACTTGGGCATTATCTTCGACCAGCCAGGTACCGAACCCGCCCCTCACTGAGACTCATCTATACGGACAAGGGAAATTGAATCTCTGGGCACTGATCCCTATGTACTAACTTGTAAGAAGTCAATCTCTTCCGAAGGCTGACCTCCACTCACTCCACTCCTCCCTATTGAGCTGGACACGAACTCCGGCCATTGTCCACCACTCGGATTGTAGCCCCGTGCACCCCTCAGATCTCCCCTAACCCCTGGTCCCCCCCTTTGCCCAAGATGGCCACTTCTATCAGAAATGGGCTCCGCTGCACGACCCCCGGGACACTCGCGCTGGGACCAAAGGCTTCATCAAGGTCACTTTGTCTGTGAGGGCGCGCGGGGACCTACCCCCTCCACTGCCGTCCCCGAGCCCGGGGCACAGTTCGGACATTGAGAAGTGAGCTGGGGTGAGGTCGGAAGAGGGTGTAGGACCTGGAGTGGCCTCCAGGACGCAAAAAGGGGGAGGGGCCGCGAGTCGGGCTTCTCAGCCCCTCAGCGTTCTCCCCCCCGCCGCCACCCCCCCCCTAGAAACCTGCTCCTGCCGCGCCGGGTGCCGGCTCAGAGGCCGTGGGCGCGGCTGCGCGTGCGCGTGTACCGCGCCGAGGGGCTTCCGGCACTGCGCCTCGGGTTGCTGGGCAGCCTGGCACGCGCCCTGCACGACCAGCGCGTCCTCGTGGACCCCTATGTGCGGGTGTCCTTCCTGGGGCAGCAGGTAAGTCCTTCCCATCCTCACTTGGCGGGGACTTAGGCCCTGATCCGGCGCTGACCCCTCTCCGCCTGTCCTCACCGCCGCGCTCAGGGCGAGACGTCGGTGCGAGGAGAGGTGACGGCGCCGGAATGGAACGAGCAGCTGAGCTTCGTGGAGCTCTTCCCGCCGCTGACGCGAGGCCTTCGTCTGCAGCTGCGGGATGACGCGCCCCTGGTCGATGTGGCCCTCGCCACGCACGTGCTGGACCTGAGGCAGATTTCACACCCGGGCCGCGCGGGTGAGCGCATCTGGCGGGCGGCCCTGTCTGCCCTGCGTCCCGCCCCCGAAGGCAAACCCCATCCTTGTGACCCAACTCCGCTTAGAAAATCAGCCCCACCCCACAGGACAAACTGTGCTCCAAGCGGGCTCCTCCCTTCGTAGCCTTACCTGTCACCCCCAGACTACAAACCCCACCTTCGGTTTGGCTTCGTTGACAGAATCCCAACTACAGCTGTACCTCCAGTAACCGCTCCAGCCCTGTGCTCCCTACAGAGTTACACGTACATCAACAAGCCCACTTCACATTATCCATTTACCCCAGCTCCTAACGGGATCACCTGTAGCTCCGCCCCAATCCTGACTCCACCCCAGGCTCTGGTTCCGCCCCTAGAGCCTTGACACCAACTGTCAGCAGCGCCTTTGGAGCTGAGCTGGTTCAGAAGTGCTCCCAGGTCCTCATCCACAGCTGTCCATTTGCAGTTGTACACAGACTTCCCTCCCAGAGCAGCGAAGGCCCATTCTGATACCCCACCCCTCGAATTTACAGGAAATAAGGCTGCGTAGACTGACCTAGTACCCACCTGCCCCATGTTCTCCCCCAAAGCACTGTTCTTGTCCCCCACAGCGGGGTTTAACCCCACCTTCGGCCCGGCCTGGGTGCCTCTCTATGGCTCGCCCCCCAGTGGGGGGCTCCGGGATGGTCTTCAAAATCTCAACGAAGGCCTTGGCCAAGGTATTTGGTACCGTGGCCGCCTGCTGGTGGCTGTGTCCATGGAGGTGTTGGAAGGAAGAGCTGAACCTGAGCCTCTCCAGGCCCGACAGGAGTCCAGGTTGTCCCGGCTCAAGGGAAAGAAGAAGAAAGCCAGGCAGGGCCAGACCCCAACGGGGATTCAGCAGCATCTAGACGCCAGCTCCAGCGCTGATGGGCCTGAGATTCCTAGTGTGATGGACGTGGAGGTGGAGGAGTTGCTGCCGCTGCCAGAGGTGGGGGCTGGGGTTTAGCAAAGGGGGGGCAGGATCACTCTCAGCTCTGGAGTATGTGGCGGGCTACCAGGCATTAAACACAGGAGTGTGTGTGTGTGTGTGTGTGTGTGTGTGTGTGTGTGTGTCTCAATTTAGGGGCTTAGGTGAAGACTGCAGTGTGTGTATGCATGTGCTGTTGTGTATATACACATGTAAGGGGGAGGGGGCTGACCAATCAGAGGTGGGCCAGAGTCCTAAGACCCAGGTCCAGGGGGTTGGTGCTGCAAGTGACAGAGAGGGAGGTTGGATACCTGCAGTCACCCTTCTAGGCTTTGGTTGCAGTGTCTTTCTGTGGGCATTGTGGCCAAGCATAGTCTGGGCTGCAGCCTGGGAATTCAGCCTGACTCACCTTCCCCAGAACACCCTGGCACCCTGCGAAGATTTCCTGCTTTTTGGTGTGCTCTTCGAGGCCACTATGATTGACCCCATCGTGGCCTCCCAGCCCATCAGCTTCGAGATCTCCATTGGTGTGTGGCCTAGTGGAATCCCTGAGGGTCATGGGTTTGAGGGTGGTCACCCTTGTTCCAGACTTAGGTCCGTGGAAGGGACAGTTGACCTTGAGTAAGGGCTGGGCTCAGACTTCTATTGAGGCAGAAGAGGTTGAGGGAGGGGGCGGACCCTCAGCCTGGTGCCCGCTGACCCTTGTTGCTCTGGGTAGGTCACGCAGGCCGCCAGGAGGAGCAGTTGGGCCGAGGGTCCAGGGCTGGGGAGGGAACAGAGGGCGCCACGGGGGAGGCGCAGCCTCTGCTGGAGTCAGATGTGAGAGTCGGGCCAGTGGAGGAAGAAGAGAAGATGGGGACCCCTGCTCAGCGGCCTGAGCCCATGGACGGCAGCGGGTGAGTGTTCCTGGTGGATGAAACGAGGGCACTGGGGGATCCCAGCAGGGCCAGGGCTGCCCCTCACAGCCTCAGCTCCTTTCTGCCTGGCCCAGGCCATACCTCTGCCTGCCCCTGCGTCACCGAAAGCCATGCGTGCGCGTGTGGAGCCGCTGGGAGAATCACACGTGGCGCCTGCAGAGCAGTAACTGCGTGCGGAAAGTGGCCGAGAGGCTGGTGAGAGAAAAGGGGGTGGGGGGGGACACGGGGAGACGAAAAGAGAGGCCGGGGTGTTGTCGCGTCCAGGAGACCTCGGCCTTTGAAGGGAGTTCTGGAACAGTGCTAATAGGTAGAACACCAGGGAACCAGCACCTGATTGGTGCAAGGCCAGAGGGCCGTAGAGCACACAGCTCATGGACGCACTGATGAGGCCAGAATTGAGGGAGGATGGAGATCCAAAATTGTTGGACCCAGGAAGGGGCCGACGAAGGACATGGGTAGAGCTACTGGGAGCCCCACCCTAGAGGAATGGAGGCAGTGGGGTGCTAGAAAAACGGATCCACCAACCATTTGGAGCCAAAGAAGGGCGGGGCCAAGAGGTGAGGTAGTGAGTGGACTGAGCCCTGGGTGGGGGTGTGGTCTAAAAGAAGTCGGATTCTGGTCCCCTTATGACTGGGACCTTCTCGCTCCGTCGTGCAGGACCAGGGTCTCCAGGAGGTTGAGACTCTGCAGCGCAGGCCGGGGCTCGGAGCCTCCACACGGCTCAAACAGGCTCTGGAAGAGCTGGTGGCTGGGAGCAGGTGAGCTGAGAAAGTGTCTGTGTGTCAACTCCAGGGTGAGGGAGACTCTTGGTGGTGGTTTGGACCCAAGGGCAGGTGGAAGCTTCATTTACTTAGCTTTACAGAAAAATGAAAAGAAGATGATTGTCCAGATGGAGGGAGCTTGATGGAAATTATTGGTGGATTAGATCAGTCCCCTCCAATAAACTCCCTTTCCCCGTTCTCCTAGAATCTATGCCTTTTCCCCCTCCTCAAATCTTCCCTATTCCTTTTCTCCAGACTTATTCCAGCTAATGATCTCTTTTATTTCATGAAGAAAATAGAAGCCTCACCTTCCTCCATCCATTCTAACACCTTTGCCTATGTCTGTATCCATCTGCTCCCCCTCCTTTCTGCTATAGCTCAGGGAGTGTCCTTCCTCCCATAGCCACAGCTGTGGTCTTGATTTCATCTCCTCTCACCTACTGGAGGAATTAGCTCTGCAATTGTCCACTTTCTCTCCTGCAATATCATCTGGTCCCTAGTTACCAGGTCATTATGTAATCATATAAACTTGTTCTAGTCACTTCCATCTTTGACCTTCACTGACCTGAATTCCATAACCTGCTCCAGTTACTTCAGTGTTTTCCTGATCCTCTTCTCAAAATAACTATTAATCCATTTATTCAGTAAATATTTGTGACATTCACTATACTAGACACTGTTTCACTGTAATAGCAGTGAAAAAGCATTCTTGCCCACAAAAATTCCTGAAACTTACATTCTGGTGGTAGGGGCTGGATGGAGACACAGATTAAAAATAGGTAAACAAAAATGTAGAAGTTTAAGAAGTATGATAAGGATAAATGTTAAGGAGAGAATAAAGCAAGGAAGTATGAGAGAGAGGTGTTGCAATTTTAGAAAGGGTGGCAAGGGGAGACCACTGTGAAGTTGACATGAAGAAAAGGAAGGAGCAAGTCATGTTTGTAAAAGTGTTTCAGGCAACAGGGACAGCATGTGCAAAGGCCCTGAGGTGAAGCATGCTTTGTGTATTTGAGGAAGAGCAAGGGAAACAGTGTGAGTATAGCAAAGTAAGCAGAGTAGAAGAAGCTGGAGGGTGTGGGGGAAAGGAGGATGATGATGGGGGGGCCATGTGGGAGCCTTGTAGTAATGACCTTCTTCTCTGCTTGAGATGAGAAGCCACTGAAGGTTTTGAAAAGAGAAGGAATATGTTCTAACTTATCTTTAAAAACAATCAGTGTGTGTGTGGGGGGTGATGATATAAGAGGGGAAACAGAGAGATTACCAAAGAAGGCATTGTAATAATCCAGGTGACCAATGGTGATGAATTGAATCTAGGGTGGTTGCAGTGGATATAGAGTGACATGAATGGATTCAAGAGAAATTTTGGACTTTGGAGGTGACACCTCAGGACTTGCTAATGGATAGGTATAGGCACGAGAATGAGGAAAACTTGGTAAGAAGAGCCATGAATGACTCCCAAGATGTTGGCTTGCACAACTGTGTAGATGGTGCTATTTGCTGAGCTATGGAAAATAAGAGGTCTGATGGGAGTGAAGAGAATATCAGAAGCTCAGTTTTGGATGTGCTAACTTTGAGATAAATATCTGTTAGACTTATAAGTGGACACATCCGCTAGGCAGTTAGCTATATGAGTTGAGTTCTGAGGAGAGTTCTAGGCTGGAAATGAAAATTTGGGAACTGTCAATATATAGATGGAATGGATAAGATCATCCAGGAAGCAGAGAAATAAGAAATCTGAGGACCTGGAGAGCTCCAGCATTTAGAGGTAGTGTGGAGGACTCAGCCAAGGACCTGGCCATAGGGGATCACTTTTCTGTCCTCATCTCAGTCAGTGGTTCAGTGTCAGGGGACACAGTAGACCCCACCCTCCTTCTTGAAAAGCTCTGCTGTTGACTTCCATGGCCCAGGTTTTCCTTCTGCTTCCCTGGCCATTTCTTCTCATCAGTTGTGCTGGCTCCCTTTCTTCTTCTTGACCTCCACGTGTTCCAAATGTCTATATATATACAAGTATGCCCCAGCGCATCATTGTAAGGCCCTCTTCTCTGTCTACATTCTCTTTGTCTCCAAAAGAACAATCACCTTTAATCTAATTTAATTCCTTGCTTGGTTTTCTATATTTTACAATCAAACTATTTACACTTTACTGAAATTATTTTATTACTGAAATCATTCTTTGGCAGGGAAATTTCAATGAAAGTTTTGCCCATGTCATATTTCACTATTTATAGCTTTGGCCAGTATGGTTTTCTTTTGTGGTTATTATTTCTACCAGATCCAGTTTCCCTGAATCCAATTTTGTGGATCTGAATCTTGTCAAGATTTGATTCTCCTGTCAATTTTCAATCAATAGCAAATGTTCCTAGGTTCCTCTTTGCTCTTGGAGCAATGAATATTAGGAAGCTAAAATTATAAGCTCTGGGAGCAGTATCAGGTGGAAAACCCTTGGAGTCATTTATTATATATATTTTTGAAAATTCCCATAATAAAAGCTTAAGAAACCATTGGGGGTAAAAAAGGGCCTACAATATCATGTCTCAAAAATCATTTTACTTTACACAACATTTTTTTTTTGAGTCTCTAGTGGGTGCCAGGCCCTGAGGATACAGTAGTAATCAAAATGAAGTCCCTGCTCTGGCTTACTTTCTATTTAGAGAGACAGATAAAGCGGAGTATGAGGACAAAGAGAGTGGCAGGAGCTCTTTAGACCAGATGACCAGGGAAGGCCTGTGAGGAGGTAACATTTGAGCAGTGACCTGAATGAAGAGGGGAAGTGAGCCATGCAAAAGATCTAGGGGCAGAACATTGTAGAAGAGGGAGTGGCTAATACAAACTCCCTAAGGTGGTAATGGACTTGGCGTATTCACGGAAGAGCAAAAAAGACTAGTGTGGCTGTAGGGTTGTGCATGAGAAGAGAGTAATGTTTGATAAGGACAAGGAGATAAAGGGAGTCAGATCATGTAGGGCAGTTTTTAAAACTTTGTTTTGTATTCTGAAACAAGAAGCCTCTGGAGAGGACTGAAATGGTCAGGAAAGCATTGAAAAGATTGCTGTGGTTGCTGTATTGAGACTATTGTATAGAAGAGGGGGTAAGAGTGGAAATAGGGAGAGCAGCGAGGATGGCCGTTGCAGTATTCCTAGGCGAGAAATGATGGCGGCTTGAATTAGGGGGGGTCCTGGAAAAGGAGAAAAGTGGTCAAATTTCAGATATGTTTTGAAGGTAGAGCCTAAATAACATGCGGATGGATTGATGTGGAATGTGAGAGAAAAAAAATGCAGTGAAGGGTGACTCTGAGGTTTTGGAGTAAACCAGGGTTTTTGTGGGGTGGGGTGAGGGGTGGGGGGATGTGGGCTGTCATTGGGAATCATGAACTTGATTTGGGCAGCTAATGTTTGAGCTATATTTAGTCAATTTGTTGGAAATGTCAAGCACAGCTCATCAGAACTTTTTTTTTTTTTTTTTTTTTCAGGTGTGTAAAACAATGTAATAGTTAGACATTTACACCCATCACAAAGTGCTAACCCCCTCCCCCAAACTACTACCCCTCTGACATTGTATNTCTGAGGTTTTGGAGTAAACCAGGGTTTTTGTGGGGTGGGGTGAGGGGTGGGGGGATGTGGGCTGTCATTGGGAATCATGAACTTGATTTGGGCAAAGGATTATGTAAATGAGTACATAAAGATAAGGTCATTAATATTCGGAGTCAATAAGAGTTTTTTTTTTTTTTTTTTAGTTTCAGGTGTGTAAAACAATGTAATAGTTAGACATTTACACCCATCACAAAGTGCTAACCCCCTCCCCCAAACTACTACCCCTCTGACATTGTATATAGCTGTTACAGTTCCACTGACTCTATTCCTTATACTGTATACCACATCCTATGACTATATATATATATTATTTAATATATATTAAATATATTTAATACATAGTTATAATATATAAATATAATATTTATATTTAGATTAAATTATAGTTGATGTTCATTATTATTCAGCTTCAGGTGTACACTGCAGTGGTCAAGAATCTACACCGTCCATGAAGTGGTCTCCCTAATAAGACAAGTGTCCATCTAATACCCTACAAAATCTTTACAACATTATTGATTATATTCCCCAGTCTTTTGTATCCCTGTGGCAATCTTGTGGAGCCTTAATGTGCATATGAATCCCCCAGGCTGTAAACATTCAGATTCTGGTAGCAGATCTGGCGGGCTGAAAGTCTGCATTTCAAACTAGGTGATGCCATGTTGTTGGTCCTGAGCCACATGTTGAGTAGTAAGGGTAGTAGATAATTCAATGCTAATGAGTTCTGGGGCTCAAAGGTAAGGCAGGCCTCAATGAATTGGGAGTGATCTAAATACAGAAGCCGTCCTTGGTTGAGGAAGAATGCCCGTTTGAGAACAAGACTGAGAGGGGCTATGTGGGAGTCTGTGTGTGGAAGGCCTGCTCTGGGGGAGGTAGCCGTAAGGGTCAGTGTTCCCTCCTTTGACTCCCACCCACCTCTGATGCTGCAGACAGTTTTGCCATGGTGCTGAGCGCAGAACAATGACCCGACCCAACGCCCTGGATCGATGCCGAGGGAAACTGCTGGTGCATAGCCTGGTACGGGCCACCAGGGAAGAGGGATCAGGGGCAGCCAGCAAAGGTCCTCCACTCATATTCTCTTCATGCCCTTCCAGAACCTGTTGGCAAAGCAAGGACTGCGCATTCTACGGGGCCTGAGACGGGGCAATGTACAAGAGAAGGTGGCACTGGCCAAGAAGCTCCTGGCAAAATTGCGTTTCCTGTCCCAGGAGGTAATGCCACCCCCACTGATTTCCCCACCCTGAATACCCTTTCCCCTAAGCTTTCCAGAGGCCTCTGGGCAGGGGTGACCTGACATTTGTTCTGTGGACAGATGCTAGGCCATTGGACTCATTGCTCTGGGCATAGAACCAAGTTCCATTTGGAGCAGCTGAAGGTGAAAAGTGTTCTAGGGCCCAGCAGGGATGCAGGAGAACACACAGGTTCTTTTTGGATGAAGATAGGAGAGTACATTTCCTTGGCATGACTTCCCTAGTCTAAAGCTCTGAACACTACATAGTACAAAAGATGCAGAGAGTGCAAAGGGTGAAGGGAGTTCACATTTTTTAAATGCTTTCTCTGCTAAGCATCTACATGTATCATCTTGTATGATCCTTCCAACAACCTTGGAAAGATATTACCTCATTTGACAGGTGCAGAAACTGAGGCTTAGAGAAGGAAAGTGACTGGTCCACCATGAAGCTGGTTAAGTAGCAGAGCTGGAATTTAAAGCCAGTTCTGCCTCACTTTGAAGCACAGCCCTCCCCAAAGGCACAAGACATTTTGACCCCTGGGTCTACTTCTAATGATTATTTCTTCTCTTGACCATGAGTCAGGTTTTTTGTTGTTGTTTTTTTCCTATGCCTTGTAATTTTTTATTATGTGCCTGGATTTTTGTATAACAGAATAGTAGAGGCTAAAATAAATAACATATATCTCCAGAAAGTTTCGATGAAGTCTAAGTTATATAATATTTGTCATATGTTTGTTTATTGCTTTCTGTTACCTGTATGAGAAAACTTTGCTACTTCTAAGCCACAAAGATCTAGTGGGAAAAGTACACAGAGGTAACAGGTGGGTAACTTGAGCTGGAGATGGATATTTGGTCCCTCCATCCATGAAAGCTGTGGAAGCAGGTGGTCTCAGCTCCGAATCCACTTCAGTGATCCAAGTCTGTGCTTGCAGCCCCAGCCTCCGCTCCCAGATGTGCTGGTCTGGATGCTCAGTGGGCAGCGCCGTGTAGCCTGGGCCCGCATCCCAGCCCAGGATGTGCTGTTCTCTGTGGTTGAAGAGGAACGAGGTCAGGACTGTGGGAAGATCCAGACTTTGCTCCTCACAGTGAGTGGGGCCTGGCGTGAGGGTGCTAGGATCTGAAGTGGCGGGAAGCTCATAGGGCAGGGGGTCACGAGGTAAAGGCCTGTGGTTCCCAACTCAGGGTCCCCAAACTCCTTTGCTTTAATTTTAAAATATTAAAAAACTTTTTATTTATTTATTTATTTAAAAACAGTGTGTTTTTCCAGGACCCATCAGCTCCAAGTCAAGTAGTTGTTTCAATCTGGTTGTGGAGGGCACAGCTCAGCGGCCCATGCAGGGATCAAACTGGCAACCTTGGTGTTGTGAGCACTGTGCTCTAACCAACTGAGCTAACTGGCTGCCCTTAAATACTTTTTAATTAAAATTTTAAATTAAAAAAATTTAAATTAAAAAAATTTATTTTAAAAATTTGTACAATTTTTAATTATTTTAATGTTATTATTATTATTTTTTTAATTGGGGAATTGGGGGAGAGGAACAGTGTTGGGGAATTGGGGAGGGGGACCAGCCAAGTTGTTGTTCTTCAAGCTTAGTTGTGGAGGGCGCCAGTCGGCAGCTTGTGGCCTCTAAGCTCAAGGTGCTGTGTTACAATCTTAGTTGCAGGTGGGCGTAGCCACCATCCCATGCAGGAGTCGAACCAGCAGTCTTGTTGTTAAGAGCGCATACTCTATCCACTGAGCCATCCGGGCGGCAGCTCAGCTCAAGGTGCCGAGTTCAGTCTTAGTTGTGGGCAGGTGTAGCCCACCATCGAACAGGCAGTCTTGTTGTTAGGAGCACGTGCTCTCACCAGCTGGCCATCCTGCCACCTGTTGGCAGCTCAGCAGCAGCTCAGCTGGGGCACAGCATCACTGGCCCATGTGGGAATTGAACCGGCGGCCCTGTTGCTCAGAGCTTGCTCTCTTAAGCTAACTCTTAACCAACTGAGCCACTCGGCCGGCCCCAATGTTATTATTATTTATTTATTTATTTATTTATTTAGCTGAGCCATCCTGCCACCGTTGGCAGCTCAGCGGAAGCTCAGCTTGGGCTGGGCATCGAACCAATGTTATTATTTTTAAATGTGGACCCAAACTCTTTTCAATTATCCAAATGCCAAAAGGAGATTGTGCCTTTACGCAGGTCAGCTTTGACGTGAGATAAATACCAAATTTTGTCAGCTCTGACCTTACTGGGAGAGTGATTAATTATTTCCTTATAAGTACAGCTGATTTGGGGGCAAAATATTTTTGAATGAGGTGTCCCTGGAAAAGACACCAGCAGGGATCTCTAGTGGCGAGAAGCCATGACCATGGGATCAGAGACAGGGAATCTAAATGTGTTGAGGATGAGGGGACAGAGTGGGTGGAGTGTGGGGTATAGGAGTGCAAAGCCCAGGGTATAGTTTGGAAGCATGGGTTTTGGAGTATAGGAAGTGACAGTGTTGGGCAGGGGATATATAGAATGGGAACATCAGGGCAATGGGGTATTGGATGGAGGGCATGAAGTGGGGTACAAGGGTGAGGTACAGGGAGTGCTCTTTGGATTAGGGAGCTGGGGTGTAGTCTGGCAGTACAGAGAGTAGGGGCACACCCTGAAGGAGCAGGGCTGTTGGTCTAGCTGGGATAATAAGAGGCGGGCTCTAGTATTGCCTCTTTCCCACTACAGGCACCTGGGGCAGGCCCTGGTGAGGTCTGTGCCAAGCTGGAGCTCTTCCTGTGGCTGGGGCTGGGCAAGCAAGCCAAGGCCTGCACCTCAGAGCTCCCACTGGACCTGCTGCCTGAGCCCTCCGCGGGGCTGCCACACAGCCTGCACCGGGATGGTGAGTATGGGGGCGGGGCCAGTGAGCCCAGGGCCCAGCTCCCTGTTTGCTCAAGGTGTGGGGCTAGATGCTCATCTGGGGGTTCAGTGGGGTCTGGGTCAGGGACTCCAGTGGTCCTCTGAGCAAACATGCCCCTTCCTTCCCCCACCCCAGACTTCAGCTATTTCCAGCTCCGGGCTCACTTGTACCAGGCCCGAGGTGTGTTGGCAGCAGATGACAGTGGGCTCTCAGACCCCTTTGCTCGAGTCATCATCTCTACCCAGTGCCAGACCACACGGGTGAGGGCTGGGCTGGGGTGTGGGCAGAGGGGTGCTGGGAGATGAGGTGGGTGGGTGCTGTGCTTTTTTTCCACAGGCCCTATGTCTCTCTTCCTGCCCTGGATTTTCAGGACAGGATACTGGATCAGACTGCCCTGATTTAGAGGGTAGTGTAGAGCTGGAGGGTCTTTAGGGGTGAGGAGTGGTTCTCTGGGGTTGACTTTAAGACTAGCTCTGCGGGTGGCAGATTACAGTAAGGAGAGACCGGGACTGGGAGGGGCAGGCTCCGACATCAATCTGAAGGGTGCCTTCATCTTCACCACATTCTTGCTCCTTTTGTGATAAGCAGTTATTTGAAGTATTACTTTAGGCCAGAGGTGCTCACCTGGGCTGTGTGTTGGGAGCCTTCTTCTGAGTCCTGTATTGCCTCCTTCCCTGCATGACCCTCAAGGTCCTGGAGCAGACGCTGAGCCCCCTGTGGGATGAACTCCTGGTGTTTGATCAGCTGATCGTGGACGGGAGGAGGGAACACCTGCAACAGGAGCCTCCATTAGTGGTCGTCAATGTCTTTGACCACAATAAGTTGGTGAGTGTGGCCTGGGCCCTACCTGGTTTCCGTTCTAGAGCGCCCCCACTCCGTCTTGATGCCCCCTCCCCTGGCTCCTGAGCCTTTTCCACTTTTATCTTCACTATCTTGCTCCCTGCAGGGCCCTCCTGTGTTTCTGGGCAGGGCATTGGCTGCTCCGGGGATCAAGCTGATGGAGGACCCTTACCAACGCCCCGAGCTGCAGTTCTTCCCCCTGAGAAAGGGGCTCCGGGCAGCTGGAGAGCTCATCGCCACCTTTGAACTCATTGAACTGGACTACAGTGGCCGGTTTGAGGTCAGAGGGCCGTAACCTAGCTGGTACAGGATATGAATTCCTCTTGTTATTCAATCAGGTCATCCAACCCCAGGGAATACAGAACATGGGCATGTTCCAGGGTTACCCCTCCGAGTTCCTTACCCCCAAAGAATGCAGGCTGCAAATCTGTCCTGGGGTCACCTCATTGGACCTCCTGACTCCAGAGGACACTAGAAGTAGACGTACCCTGGGTTCACCTTGCCAGGCCTCCAACCCTAGAGAACCCAGGCTGTAGGTTGATCCTCATGCCTCAGACGCCCACCCCTCCTTCCTGTACATGGCTGTTTCCGAGACAGCCCCCTCCTGCCAATCCAGCCTTCTCCCGGCCCTCTGGATTTATATTTCACCAGCAGCTCTTCATTTTTCTTCCATGAGCCCGGGGTTTCTCTCCTTTGGTCTGATTCCTCTTTGACCTCTGACCTCTTGCCCCTGCAGCCCTCAGTGCCCAGTGATGTGGAGCCTCAGGACCTGACACCCCTGGTTGAGCCCCTCTCTGGACGCCTATCCCTGCCACTCAATGTGCGCCCGGTGCTCAGGGAGTTCCGTGTTGAGGTAGCACCAGGCCCTCACATCCTCCTTCTTTCCCCACATCTGGGTGCCCCCCTGTCAGGTGCAAGCCCCTGAATCTCCCACTTCCTGACCCTAGGTTCTGTTTTGGGGTTTGAGGGGCCTTGGCCGTGTGCATCTGTTTGAGGTGGAGCAGCCCCAGGTTGTGCTGGAGGTGGCCGGGCGACGTGTGGAGTCCGAGGTCCTGGCCAGTTACCGTGAGAGCCCCAATTTCACCGAGCTCTTCAGACATCTGACGGTGGTGAGGGCATGGATCGGGGGCAAGCAGTGTTGGGCTGAGAAGTGAAAGAGGGCAGTGGGATAGTGCATTCCAGGCTGGATATCTTAGATTAATGCAGGAGTCACCAAATTTTTATGAAAGTCCGGATAGTAAATGTTTTAGGCTCTGTGAGCCATACAGTTTCAGTTGCAATTACTTAACTCTGTCATTGTAGCATGCAAACATCCATAGACAACAAGTAAATGAATGAGTATGACTGTATTCCAATAAAACTTTATTTACAAAAACTGGCAGTGAGCCAGATTTGGCTTACAGGCTAGTTTGCATATCCATGGATGAATCCATGAACTGGGGGTGCTCTCTTGGCTCTGTTGAGTTAGTGGATTAGCCAAGGGTTGTGAAGTATGAGTCTGAAGGAATCTACCTAGTCTCTGAGGCACCAGGGGATGAGAAGAAAAATACTTTTTTAATGTAATTTGTAATTTTTGTAGTGTGGACTTTGGAGTCCAGTTCTGGCAACATCGCCCAGGAGCTTGTCAAATCACTTGTCTTATTTAAGTTTCAAGTTTTGTTTTGTTTTGTTTTTAATTTGTAAAAGGGAATAACAAGTACAAAAGAAAAAAGGTTGAAGGAGATACACCAAATGCCTCCTTTGAGGGAGTGCTATGAGGAGCCAATGAGAGAAAGGATCTTGGTGAAAGGGTTTCGTAAACTGCAAAGTGCTGTGCCTGTGTGAGGGGGTGACTAGGACAAAACACTGATACTAGACTGCAAGGAGGCAAACAACAAAAACAAAAAGCCCAACACGATTTCATGATTCTGTTCTACATGCAGGAGTTTTCAGTTTGAAAATTTTATTGTGCTAAAGACGATGAAACTGAAAGCAGTTTGCTCATTGAACTTCCAGTGGGCGTTTCCCCATATTTCCCATTTCATAGTGCAAATTGGGGAACACACACCCCTTTCTCTATTGTGTACTTGAAAAAAAAATGTGCTTTCTGCTATTGTTGAGTGTTCTATAGATGTCAGTGAGGTCAAGTTTGTTTTTATTCAGCCTTCCTGATGATATTCTATTTGTTTTATCCATTATTAAGAATACAGTACTGAAGTCTCTAACCCATTATTGTTGAATTATTTTTTTTCTCCTTTTATATTTGTCACTTTTTAGTTCTTGTATTTTGAGGTTCTATTGTTAGGTACTTATATGTTTATAATTGTAGCTTCCTGATGATTTGACCTGTTTATCATTATAAAATGTCCTTCTTTTGGGAAAATTTTTTGTCTTAATGTCTATTCTGTCTGACAGTATAGCTAGTTACTCTAGTTCTCTATGGCTATGGTTTGCATGACATATCTTTCCCCATCTTTTACTTTCAACCTATTTGTGTCTTTCTAAAGAGTGTCTCCTGGACAGCATGTAGTTGCATCTTGTTTTTTAAATCCATTTGATAGTCTCTGCCTTTTGATTGAAGTGTTAATATGGTCACATTTGATGTTATTTTTTATTTTTATTTTTTAAAGATTTTATGGGGAATTGAGGGAGGGGAACAACATTGGGGAATCAGGGAAGGGGAACAGACAAGTTGCTGTCCTTTGGTTCTTTTTTTTGTGTGTGTGTGATATGTCCTTTGGTTCTTCAATCTAGTTGTGGAGGACGTCGCTTCACTGGCCCATGTTGGTATCATGATCATTGCGCTCTTCCTGGGTGAGGCAGATCGGTAGCCGGCCATTGGACCGCCTCTCAAGGTGGCTCACGGCAGCTCTCCCCAGTTGCCGGCCACTCTCGCTGGCTACCTGCCATTCACGGTAGATTACGGCAGCCCATTGCAGCCCCACTGCAGCCTATGTCGTCGCTGGCGACTCATGGCAGCCCAGCTCCAGGTTGAGCTGTTGTTCACCATCTTAGCTGTAGAGGGCACAGCGTCACTGGCCCATGTGGGAACTGAACCAGCGGCCCTGCTGCTCAGAGCTGGTGTCCCAAGCCAACTCTTAATCAATGTGCCACTCGGCTGGCCCTTTGATGTTATTTTTTATATGGTTGGATTCACATCTGCCATTTTGCTATATGTTTTCTATGTGACTCATATTTTTGTTTCTCCTTTGCCACCTTGTTTTGTATTGAATAGATATTTATTAGTGTACTCTTTAATTCCTTTGTTGATTTTTACTTAGTTGTTGCTCTGGAGATTACAATATGCATACTGATTTTCCACAATGTACTTCAGATTAATACTAATTTAGTTCCAGTAAATCCGTAGCAACTTTTCCCCATTGTAGCTCCATTCCTTTCTCCCTTCTTCGTGTTATAATTGTCATATATGTGTAAAATAAGCCCAGCAATACAATATTATGATTATTGATTCCCCCTCCCCCTTAGGATCCATTGATAGAAATGGAATTCCTGGATTAATGGGCATACATAAATTTATATTAGCACATTGAACATTGGCCCTTTACATAATAACAATAACAACCAACACTTCACGTTTCTGATAGCACTTTATAAGCACCAAAGTACTTTTGTATCTGTTATGTCATTTGATATTTACAGCGGTCTTTCAAATCCAGGACTGTGTCTCTTTTTTTTAGCTGGGAAACAGATTCAGAAGGCAATGACTGATCAGATATGACACAATGAGGCTGTGATAGACCTGGGCTGAGAGTGTAGATTTAGATGTATGGTTTTTCATCCGTCTTTGCTGGGGCCTCTCCCACCTCCCCTGGTCTTCAGAGATACAGGTCTCTCTCCTTCCTTAGGACTTGCCAGAGCAGGCTTATCTGCAGCCCCCCCTCAGCATCCTGGTGATTGAGCGCCGGGCCTTTGGCCGGACAGTTCTCGTGGGTTCCCACATTGTCCCCCACATGCTGCGATTCACACTCCAGGGTCATGAGGATCCCCTCGAGGAGGAAGGAGAAGAGGAGACAGGAGACCTGGTTCCCAAGGGACTTCAAGGTAAGGGCGTTTCTCTGGTTCCTGGCCAAGATGGCTCCAGGGGACCCGCTGGTGGGGCATGGAGTCTGACTTCTACTCTCCTGACCTCCTCCTGGTTTCATTTCCCCTCTCCCAGGACAGAAGTTCCTGGATCCCTTATTGGCTGAAGCAGGGATGCCCAGACGGCTCCTGAAGGTGATGGGGTCTGGGAGATGGGTGGAGGAGGGGCTGGTAGGGCTGGGGGTGGTGCTGGGTTAGGGGCGCTGAGTTCACTCTCTCTCAGGCTCCTCTGCAGAAGCTCCCCCTGAGAGGCCTTCTGGATCAAGGGTCTGAGCTGGAGGAGGACATCCCAGATCCTGAAGAGCTCGACTGGTGGTCCAAGTACTATGCGTCACTGCAGGAGCTTCAGGTGCAGGTGAGGGAGAGGAGGGTCTCAGGGTAGGGGCTGGAGGCAGAGGAAGGTAAATGGCAAAAAGAAAGATCTCTTCAAAGGTAGAGCTCTACAGTTTATCAGAGCTCTTCATTACAGTGATTTTTTTTTTATCATCACAACAATTCTAAAAGCTGGGGATATTAATTCCATGATCTAGAGCTGTGTTGTCCAACAGAAATATTATGTGAGCCACATATGTAATTAACGTTTGTAATAACCACCTTTAAAAAAAATAAAAGGAAACAGGCAAAATTATTTTTAATAATATATTTTATTTAACCTAATATATCTGAGAGAAAAAATATACATCATATCTGAAAAAATCATTTCAATAAGTAACCATTATAGAAATTAATGAGATATTTCACATTCTTATTTTATACTAAGTATTTTTTACAAGATTTTTATTAAATAGAGCTAACATACAATATTACATTAGTTTCAGGTGCACACCATAGTTATTCAACATTTATATATCTAAAGAAGTGATAAGCATAATAAGTCTGGCAACCATCTGACACTGTACTATGATATCACAATATTATTGAATTTATTCTCTCTGCTGTACATTAAATCCTCATGACTTATTTGTTTTATACCTGAAAATTTGAACCTCTTATTCCTTCACCTCCCCCCACCTTTAAAATTTTGTAATTACAGTTGACAGTCGACATTATTTTATATTAATTTCAAGTGTACAGCATAGTAGTTGGACATTTATATAATTTAAGAAGTGATTTCTCCTGACTAGTCTAGTGCCCACCTGGCATTATACATAGATATTACGATATTATCGACTATATTCCCATACTTCACTTTACATCCCCATGACTATTTTGTAACTACCAATTCATACTTCTTAATCCTTTCTCTTTTTCACCCTTCCCCAACCCCCTCCCCCGCATCTGGCAACCATCAAAATGTTTTCTGTATCTGAGTTTGTTTCTGTTTTGTTTGTTCCACATATAAGTGAAATCACATTGCATCTGTCTTTCTCTGTCTGACACTCCACTCAGCACAATATCCTGCAGGTCCATCCCTGCTGCCACAGATGGCAAGAACCCATTCCCTTCCATGGCTGAGCAATATTCCATTGTATATATGTACCACTTCCTTTTATCATTGACGGACACCCAGGCTGCCGATACTAAGTCTTTAAAATGTGTATTTTATACTTATAGCACATCTCAGTTTGAACTAACCACATTTCAAGTGTTCTACGGACACATGTAGCCAGAGGGTACCATCTTGGTCAGTGCAGAAGTAGATGATAAGCTGAAGCTTTGAAAAACGCAAGTGGCTTACCCAGCTGGAACTTGAACTAAAGTTTCCCAGCTCCCTATCCTGGAAAAGGGGTAGATTAAGGAGGTGAGGGGTGGGGAAGAATCTCTGAGCTGGCCTTTGATTTCAGCCCAACTTTGATGAGGATGAAATAGATGATCCTGGGGATTCAGGTAAGAGATCTGGCTTTCTTGCTCTTGCTCCCTCCCCCACCCTCCCCTACACACACACACACACACACACACACACACACACACACACATATTTCTAACTGGGGCATTTCTGCTGTTCCCAGATGGAATCAACCTCACTTCTGTGGATGGGGAAGCCCAAGACCAGGGTGAGGCTGAAGTCAAAGGCTCCATGCCCCAGAAAAAAGCAATCGCCACACTGAAGGTGACTAGGTGTCAGGGAGAGGGGGTTCTGCTTGGATTCTGGACAGCAGGTTGTCACTGAGGACCTTGCCTTTCAGATCTACAACAGCTCTCTGGAGGAAGAGTTTAACCACTTTGAAGACTGGCTGAATATTTTTCCCCTGTACCGAGGGCAAGGGGGTCAGGATGGAGATGGAGAGGAAGAAGGGTCTGGGCATCTTGTGGGTAAATTCAAGGTGTGTTTGGGAAAGGAAGGAAGAGAGCACAGGTGGGGATGTGAGAAGACTCTTACCTGTGTCCTCCTCCCACTCCAGGGCTCCTTCCTCATTTACCCTGAATCAGAGGCAGTATCATTCTCTGAGCCCCAAATCTCCCGGGGGATACCACAGAACCGGCCCATCAAGCTCTTGGTCCGAGTCTATGTCGTAAAGGTGAGCATCCCTCATCCCAGCATGCTTCCAACTCCAGCAAAGGTAACGCATGTGAAACCTATAGACTAAAGGATTCGGAGGGAATTTCAGGGATCAGCACCCACCTTCTTCATTTTTCAGGTAGGAAATCTCACGCACTAAACTAAGAGACTCCCCAGGATTACAAAGCTTGCTCCTGACAGGCACCAGAATTTAGAGCTGAGGTCTCCTGACTCCTTGTTCATCGTTTTAGTCCCCCAGAGTGGGGAGTATCATTCCAGGAGGAGCACAGCTCTGAGTCTCAAGCTGCATGATGGCTTGTTGTCACATACCTTTGTACAGGTCCTTCCATTCCTGCAACTTCTGGTAGCACTTAGCTGAAGGGCTCTCAAGTTTCCTTAAAGGCATCTCAGAGAGTAGAGGAATGCGTGGGTTGCTCTGCCCCTTTACTTCCAGTACCAGAACAGATGCTGTACTTTTATCTGGTGTAAATATAGGTACTCTGACTAAGATGTAATTTAAAGAAACATTCTGTGGCACCATTCTACCAAAATCCAAGTATCCTAGGGCATAATTACATAGCAGGCATCATCTTGACCTTCTGTTTCCTGCAGACTAGATGGTCTGAAATATCTTCCTGATATAAAACACCTAGAAATGCTAGATCAACAGTCATTTATTTATTTATTTATTTAGGAATTGGGGAAGGGGAACAGCCAAGTTGTTGTCCTTCAGTCTTAGTTGTGTAGGGCGCATCTAGCTCAGCTCCAAGTCCAGTCGCCATCTGGCCATTTGTTGGCAGCTTGCAGCCGCTCAGCTCAAGGTGCCGTGTTCAATCTTAGTTGCAGGTGGGCGTAGCCCACCATCCCATGCAGGAGTCAAGGCAACCTTGTTGTTAGGAGCACACGCTCTCACCAGCTGAGCCATCCTGAGCTCAGCATGCACTCTTAACAACAAGGCTGCTGGTTCGACTCCTGCATAGGATGGTGGCTATGCCCACCCGCAACTAAGATTGAACACAGCACTTTGAGTTTAGAGGCCACAAGCTGCTGACGGGCAGCCAGATGGCGACTGGCACCCTCCACAACTAAGATTGAAGAACAACAACTTGGCTGGTCCCTTTCCCCAATTCCTCAACACTGTTCCCCTCCCCCAATTCCCCAATTCCCCAAGTTCCCCTCCCCCAATTCCCCAATTTAAAAAAAAAAAAGTACCAAACTGCAGGGCAGCCTGTTAGCTTAGATGGTTAGAGCGCAGGCTCATAACACCAAGGTTGCCAGTTCGATCCCCACATGGGCCACTGAGATATGCCTTCCACAACTAGATTGAAATGACTACTTGACTTGGAGCTGATGGGTCCTGGAAAAACACACTGTTCCCCAATTGAAAAAAAAAATCCTCTAAAAAACCAAAAGTACCAAACTACAAAGGAATAGGCCACTGAGAATAAGAATTAGCAAAAATAACAGATTCAGACCCTCAGGGTTGTTGAAATTGGAATGAATAGACAGAGACTACATAATAACTATATGTGAAGTGTTTAAAGAAATAAAAGAATGAATGTAAAACAAGCAAGGAACAAGAGACTATTAAAAATAAACAGCAAGTTTGAAGGACTGCCTAGAATTTTTAGAAATGAAAAGTAACATGTAAGGTCACACACCATGAAGCCCTCCACGAGACCTGGGATGTTCCTGCTGGCCTTGATGGTGCTCTGTACCCTGCTTGGTCTCGGGTGCCCGCTAAGCTGTGAAGTTTGCAGGGGCTCCGGGACCACGTGCAGCGGAAAGATGAAGGCTTGCGAGGCCGGCAAGGACGCCTGCGTCATCATGCTAGGGGAGTTGAGCACTAAGGGCCACCACTCAGTGAACACCTACAAGGCCTGCATGAAGTTCAGTGACTGCTACTCGGGGCGTGTTTCCACCACCATGGGCCCCAAGGACTACATGGTGTCCAACACTCACCGCTGCCAGAGCGATGGCTGCAACCATGGCTCAGTGCCCCCTCCCCAGAACAACAGTACTGAGAATGGCCTCCACTGCCCCGCCTGCATCGTACCCTTCCAGGAGACGTGCCCAGGGAAGAAGGCAGCCCACTGTGTTGGTCAGGAAACCCACTGCATCTACTTCGCTGGCAACATACAGGCTGGTATCAACACCAAATTTGCCACTCGGGGCTGTGCTACAGAGAGTGCCTGCTACACCAAGCCTGGGGCCCAGGTGCCCACAGCCTCCTATCTCTACTTCCTCGCCAAGCAGACTGCCTCCTATCTCAACTTCCTCCGCCGAGCAGACTGCCTTCCAGCCCCGCAGCCCCCTGGCAGGGCTGAGTGAAGAACTGAGGAATTTGTGGCTTGAGGTGTCCATTTATTCTCAGGCTGCAGCTCCCCATGTGCCTATAAATTAAACAGATTAACCGGAGCAAGCCTGAGTCCTTGTGACGTGATGCATCTTG